ATTTCTCTCCCCTTTAGATAAGACAAGGACAAAAAAAATCATAAATGTAAATTAGCAACTTCTACCCCCACCTACCCCAAAAATGAAAGACTTTATAATGGACCTTTCAATTATCACCAGGTCAATAGGTGCATGAATATCATAGTCTGGTCCGATATACAGAAAAAATACTTCTAAAGGCAAATAATTATTATTTGGTCCAGCATGATTTTTTGACATAATTTCATCCCGAAAAAATACGCTGGCCTTCATGTAAATGGCGTTAAAAAAGTCGAAATGGCAATTTAATATGGCGGACATCCAATTTTTCTAAATATCTCTTAATGTCATTCAAATAAGAGAGAGAATGCGTGGATATCTTATTGAGCATATAATGCAACTATAAAAATGATATACGGACACTTACATTATCACTTAAATTCGTCATGAAATTTAGTTGGTACCACATTTAATTCGAATTTTCTCTGTTTTTCTTTCTATTGTCTCTACATTCTTCTTTGTTCAGGATTTTACATTTGCAAATATACACACATTTCGTACTTGATGCAATAGCTGAAACATAACCTGCTGGACGTGTTATTACTGGTGACGTAAATATAGTTAATAATGAGGACCTTAGATCACTAATTTTAATAGGTCCTAAATTTAGGGAACCCAGATCCTTCAACTGGCGTCGGAATTTCATAAATATTATGGATTCTGTAGAGGACTACGCCAGGCGATGGGCCAGGCATGAAAAAGAAGACCTTGACACTTTGTCAGAATGGATTAAATGTATCAGATGTATGTTAAAATAGCGCATTAAAAGATTGAGAGGCAATATGAAAACCATCTATCCTTCTGTATTCAATAATCCAGAAGTGAAAAAAGAATTAGATAGATTACATGAATAGTACGTACTGGTCCCTGCTGACAAAGCAGGCAACAACATTGTCTTTGTATGTAAGGCTCATTATATTAAATGTATTTTAGAGGAACTTGGATTTAATTCTACAAGTGGTAATCCAACTTATACTCATAGTTCCCTTTCTAAGGAAGAAATTCTTCAAAATCATATGTCAGTTTTGAATATTTTTACATGTAGTATTCCAAACAACCAAAATGAATTTGAATTACCATATTTATATTGGATTCCGAAACTTCATAAAAATCCTTACAAACAAAGATACATAGCGGGTTCCAGTAAATGTTCAACCAAGCCTCTATCTTAACTCCTCACTAAGAAATTAACAGTGGTGAAGGAGAAACTTCAAGAGTACTGTGCAACAATATATTCGAGAAGTGGTGTAAAGCAGATGTGGATACTTAAAAATTCCAAGGAACTTTTGGAATATTTGAAATCACAAGATTTTACCAAAATCAACAGCTTAAAAACTTACGACTTCTCAACTTTATACACAACCATTCCCCACGATAAATTAAAGTCCAGGCTTTTTGATATCATTGACAGCTGCTTTTTCAATAAAAATGAAACTCGTAAATATACTTACCTTGTCATTGGTCATTTGCAAAATTATTTTGTTAAAAAACATTCTGATTGTACACACAAGTACTCTGAAGTTAACATTAAAAAGATGCTTGAGTTTCCGATTGACAATATCTATGTGGTTTTTGGAGACCAGGTCTTCCAACAATCTATTGGAATTCCCTTGGGTACCAATTGCGCCCCGTTATTAGCAGACCTTTTTGGTATTCATATGAAACAGAATTTGTCCAAAATCTTGTACGTGAAAGGAAGAAAACACTTGCTGTGGCCTTCAACTCGACATTTAGATATATCGACGACGTATTGTCAATTAACAATGGCTATTTCCATTCTTATGTCGATACGATATATCCTGTGAACTTGAGATAAAAGATACCACAGAGTCTGACACATCTGTTTCATATTTGGATATTTTACTTGAAAAAGACTTTAATGGTAATCTAACAACCAAGCTTTATGATAAACGTGATGACTTTAACTTTTCAATCGTCAACTTCTCTTACTTATGCAGCAATATACCTTCATCACCTGCATACACGGGTATATATCTCTCAGTTGATTCGATACGCAAGAGCATACTCTACGTAATACTATGTACAATTTCTAAAACGAGGTAAATTATTGACAAATAAGTTGATGAAACAAGAATATCCGCTGTCTCGTTTAAAGTCATCATTTCGTAAGTTCTATGGTCGATACAATGACCTTGTCAGCAAATACAAATTATCATTGAGTCAAATGTTGACTGACGTTTTTCATACTAATTGTTAAGCCATTATTTACACACTGAATTGTCGACGGATTTTTCCGTTATTTCCCGATCATGACAAGGAGCACACGGCGGGTGTGACCGGTCGGCAGGGGATGCTCACTCCTCCATGGCACCTGATCCGACCTCTGATGTTTGGAGGTCCGTGTTTGCTCTGCTTTTATTTTATATTTTTTAATGGACATTTGAGCTTGAATGCTGTTCGTTATCTCCATATATTTCATGCAATGAATATATTAACCAAATTTAAAATGAGACATTTAAATATCTTTACTAATAAATGACTAAAATGTTAACTGAAGAGTAACCATTTCAAAAAAAAAAAAATAAATAAATAAATAAATAAATAGAAAATCGTGCTCGCACTTTAAGGAGGAATAAATGTCCATTTTTTATGTTTGTACTGATTAAAAACTCTGAAAAATACACAGTATGCGGAGTTTGACTCTGGAAGAACTTGCTAAAGGAGTCACTGTGGTGTCTGCAGGGTTTTCCTTTGGAAAAAAAATTGTAAAAATCAAAACAAAAAAAAAGATTTTTTTTAAGTAAATAGTCGTAAACAGATTAACAAATACAAACATATTTTCTATAGATAGCCACGGCATTATATTTAAGTACTCACTACACCGTAATTTCAAGATTATTCCACAAAATTGCGGTAATCGGAAGTTGGATGAACTGGGCATTGACACCAAAGCACTGGGTGACTACCAGGCGATATGATATATAATATATATATATATATATATATATATATATATATATATATATATATATATATATATATATATATATATATATATATATATATATATAGTTTGATTTTTAACTGGGAGACTGCTATTGTTGCAACCCCACTGACCACCATCGGTAATCTAGGCAAACATGGTGTGCAGTGAGCACGGCGGGATTTTGGTTTTCGGGCATGATGGTCATTTAAGGGTCTCGTCATGTCATCATCACATTTGTCAATTTCACTGAATTGGGAAATGTTGTTATATTATTATATATTATATCATTAAATATATATAATTTTATTATTAATTTAGATAAATTAGTACCGATTAGGCAAAGGTTCAATTTACAAACGGGAATAACAATTGGTGTGATAGCAATTTTGTCGTGTATGAATGAACAATTTAAAAAAAGATGTTCATTTCAGGAAATGTATACGTCATTATCTATGTTTCATTGACGAAAAAGCACACTACAGAAGAATTCTATACAGCCCCAAAGGAACAGGGGAGATAGGGGACACCATTATCACAATATTTTTCCTAGTACTATACATCAGAGAACAAATCCAGTTATACCCACAATTTCTTCCCCTAAACTCCTCTTTTATTTGAAGCATTAACTATAATACTGTAGTTCATTTTTTGAACATAATAGGTATCATCCTAAGATGTATAATAAGGTTTAAAAGTTTTCATTTTAATCCTTGGACCTAATGGGGGTTTAAAAACGACATTTTTTCTAAACAAATCTGGTTCCCAGAACTCCTGTTACATTTAACACAGTTACTCCTGGTCATCTTTAGGAAATTAACATTTTTAATCGGGGGCCCAAATGGAGGTCGGTATAATTAAACGACTTTTTTCTAAAAAAAAAAAAATGATTCCCAGAACTCCACTTATATTTTAGACAGAAGCCAATTCATCTTTGGGTAGTGTCCTGTAGATGCATATTACTTGTACTTTTACTTATGCATCATAAGCTGATCCCTTTGTTTCCCATCTGAATATAATTTTACCGAATTATATTTCAACATAATGCAGTGCATTTTTATATCCAGTCAATAGAGTCAGATGACGTCTCTCTCTCTCTCTCTCTCTCTCTCTCTCTCTCTCTCTCTCTCTCTCTCCTTAAGCTATTTCTCAATATTTTGTAAAAAGCACTCTGATCCAAATAGGCAATTATATAATATGAGGAGAACTGTTCCTAAAGATCATAAAATATGTTTTATTATTAGTTTTCGGATTGAATGGTGCGCTTATATTTTATTTCCTCATATATATCTGTTTTCTATAAAATTAAAGAACATTTCACAAAGCCTACCTTCTACATCTGGACTCTCAAAGACAACTTTCCTTGAGCAAATGAAAGTAACAAGTCTTGAATTTCATATTGATGTTTTAATTGGGAAATACAGTAAGATGTCGGTGAATCAATTTCATGGTGTATGAACAGGGCTATTTTATGCATAAAGTGAACCTAGCTCTTTAAGTATATATAACAATAGTTAGTACTCAGGGGTATTTTCACTCCTACGAAAAGTTACGTAATTTCTCTAGTTATATGTAATGTTTTAAATAAACAGAAACGACAGGGAGAGTCTCCTTAATTAGTGAATGAATGATTCCTATTTAACAGTTACATAGGAATGGTTACTTCATAAACCCTCTCTCTTGGCATTTATGATAAGAACTTTATTAAAATTTTATTGGAGCTTTTTTCTTGACCTACTGTAGATAAGATCAGTCAGTAAACCAGGAAGACAAACCACCAGATTTACAGGACTGGTGAACACTGAACAGGGCAGGTGCTATATTGACTGTGTGATTGAATGTGAAATTTTACAACTGGTGGGTTTACAAATTGAATTTACACCCTTTTAAAGAATATTTGAAACAGATATTCAATACTATTATACTATGTAAAGTTATGTTTATATTTACTGTTCTTTGGAACTGTTGAACCAACAAAGTTGTTTCAGTATGCAAAATTCTTTTCTAGACCTTGAAAATGACTACCAATATCTCAAGGGGACAAGTAGTCATCACGTGCGATCTCTGTGCTAAACCAACTCAGCAGTTTTGTAAGAACTGTCAAGTCAGTTTATGTGTGGACTGTGTCAGTAAACATGTGGACAAGCACCAGTCTCTTACACATGACATCCTTCCCTTCAAGAACAGAAAGATACAGTTTGTTTTTCCAGAGTGTGAATTTTACCCTCACCAGAGATGTGAGGCCCATTGTCAAAAGTGTGATGTCCCAGTGTGCATCAAATGTTTTCTTGGCAACCATAAGGGCAATGACGCTGTAGAATTATCAAATATAGTAGAGAACAAAAAGGGAAAAATTGAAAAAAAAACAAAGGAAATTGAAATCGTTATTATTCCAAGATACCTGAAGAGTGCACTGCTAGATATAATGAGTTGGAACAGAGCATGGAGAAGTACAGACAATTATGGCATAAGAATGTGGAAATTATTTTCAACAATCTTAGCTCTTTCATTAAGTCCATGAAGGATGGGTTTCTTACCGCTCTAAAACACATCAAGCCATGCTTTCATCTTTAATCCCTGAAATGCAGAAAAAATTGAACAAAACAAAGAAATTTTGAAGACTAACAGAGTATCCCAAGTCATCAACTACAAATCCAAACTTAAGGAGTACAGAACAAAGGCTACTGAAATTGATATCAAAATTCCTTACCTGAAAGCAAACACAATCCCGGGAAAAAACTCAGTATAGAGTTAGGAAAGTACAAGGCTACATTGACACAGACGTCAATCTCCAGTTAGACAGAAGAAGTCTCTTATTTATATACAAGCTACTGGACAAAGGCAAAGTTATTGCCATCGTTCCTACCGCAGTAAAACCAATATGGAGAGTGGCCTGTGTAGGTGAAAATGCAGCTTGGATTAGTGGAGATGACATATTCATTAAACTTGTTGACATACATGGGTTTGTGCAGGATATTGTCAAGACTACATCTTTGGAGACGCCTAATGACATCACAGTGACGAGACAAAATGATCTGGTGTACAGTGACGCTAAAACTAGGACTGTAAATATTGTTCGAAATGGACTGACAGAGGTAATGTTCACTACACAGAAAGGATGGAAACCAAGAGGTCTGTGCTGTACTAGATTAGGTGACATACTGGTCAACCTGTATGATGCAGGTCAAAACAAAATCGTCCGTTACCAGGGACAAATGGTGAAACAGGAAATACATAAGGATAAAGATAAAAATGAAATCTTAAAAATGGTGAATATAGGCTTTGCTTAGCAGAAAACAGCAATGAAGATATTTGCGTCTCTGATCTTAATGCCGACATGGTGGTAGTATTAAATAACGCAGGAAGAGTCCGATTCCGATACGATGTTGCACCAGCTAGAAGGACGAAGGCATTTGATCCTAGAAAAATCGCTACAGACTCCATGAGACAGATCATTGTGGCAGATTACAGCAATGACTGTATACACATTCTTGATCAAGACGGACGGTTCATTAGATGTGTTGACACGTGTGGACTAAATCACCCTTTTGGACTGAGGGTGGACGCTAAGGAGAGATTGTGTATAGGGCATCCCCTACTCATTTATACCTCGAAAATTACCTCGATTCATACTAAGACTTTGAATGGGATACAAAAGCTTCCGGTTGGGGTTATAAATGAAGGATAAAACCAGAGACTTCCGAGTATTCTATTCCGAGGTCTCTGGTTTTATCCTTCATTTATAACCCCAACCGAAAGCTTTTGTATCCCATTCAAAGGAACAAATGAGTTGTTTACAATAAAGAGGATCGACCAGAGATGTCTGAAACGATCAATCTGACAAGAAAAAAGTCTTTCTAAGCGAATGGTGCCATTTTAAAATAGGTTAATGATTGATATATTAACAAAATACGAGCTTGAAGCGGAGGTGCCTGAAAATGAGTTAGGTACCTTGTGGTAAAAATAAAGTGGAGGGTGCCCCGTATACGAAACAAGTGCCTGTGGTACTAAATGGCCCCTTGGGATTGAGCGTGGACAATGAGGGGAGGTCAGGGTTAGTTCAAAGAAGGTGAAAGCGATTCGTCCATGAAATAAATCATTGAAGTGAATAATTTGTGAGACAATAAGATAAAGCATATTAAAAATCATTACTACTTAAAATGGAGGAAAATCAAGCAACTTATTATTATATTAATTGGTTCTAAATAATGTCATGCTGACAATATAAAGGGAAAACCCTAATAATAGTAGGACGACAGTCATATCGATACCGTTTATGATACTCCCCATATATGACAGATTCAAGTCACTGAACCTGAAGTAGGAATGAGGTGAGCCACACAAGACCTCAGCTTGAAATGGGAATAAAAATGAGGGAAATATTTTTTTAACTTTTCAGCAGGGCCAAGCTTACTCAAATGAACATTGTGGACTATGGGCTTCATATTTAATTAACATCTATGTACAACTGAAATGCAAATACAATGGATATTCCATCAGAACAACAGACCTGTAGTATATATATTTTTAAAATATTTTATACAGAAGATAGCTGTCTGATGCCCGTCTTACTGTCAGTTCTGGCGTTTCAGCCTTCGTTAGGTGTGGTTAAGTTAGGTGTGGTTAAGTTCCCTTGACATCCATAATGTCCTAATTTTTCACGTGTCTGTTTATAACACAAGCTGTGCAGCTTAAAACTACCTGGGATAACCAACACATATCCCTTTTGTGAGAAAAACTGTGTCTTTAGCTTCCTTATTTGAGTAAACATCTAATGTCAAGTTCAAAGTCACAAGTTATGCATTTCAGGTTATTTTTGAAAGGATTATTAATATGTTGGATACAGGCTATGGCAAATGTAGGACAGACATACAGATGCTGGATGAAATGACTCCTTAGAATTTGCTCTGTTTTGTTATTAACAAAAAAATTACTCTGTATTAATTTTCATCGTAATGGGTGAAATTCTGAACTTACAATAGCAGATTTTTTTAATCAGAAAGGAGAAAAACTTGATTTTGTATATTTCAAATTCTTTTCCTCTCTTTTCTACACCTTATCCCGCTGAGCTTCTTTGACAATGGACAGTGAAACAAGAGACCCAAGGGCCACAACCTTAACATAAATTACCATAGACCTCGCCAAAATTTCAAAAAAGAATTTTCCTTCCTTTTTTCCTTGAAAAGGTTTGACCCCGCATTGTGGCCAACCCTACCTCCATCTGATCATAATAGTGAATTTGCATTATCTTAGGATGGTTGCGCAATATTTTAGAATGGTTGCTCAATAATATGATTAAACAATATGTCCATGTACTCGTAGTATTTGAGAAAAAGATATTTTAATGCTTTATGTAAATTCTCATGTTTATTTTTGAATCGCTACTGTGACCACCATGTACTGGGGGGGGGGGGGGGGGGGTATGATTAGGACATCCGTGAACTTGCATTAAGTGAGAATACTGGTATGTTAATATAACTCAATATGGCCTTCCTTCTTCTTACAAGATTTTTAGCTCACATTTTATTCGGCGTCAATCCATTTGTCTATCTGTCCATCTCTCTGTACGTCAGCTGTTTGTATACTTTTAAAATTTAGGTAAAGGGGATTCAAATATGTTTAAATGAAGGGCCAAGATGAGAAAATTAAGAATACGCGGTAAGCGAAAATTTGGTGACATCTTTTTAAAATCTTAGAAAGCACTGGGCCAGAAATAATGAAACATGTGGAAGCTTTCACACAGAATTTACTAGTAGATTCAAATTTGTTCAAAGCATGACCCCGAGAGTTGGATGGGGCAGCAAAAGATACAATTTTCACCTAAAATTATAAAAGAAAAAATGTTTAAGCATCTACTTCTCAAGACTAGCAAAGCCATACTCAATATTTAACACTCTCGTGTAGTGCAGATTCAAGTTTGTTCAAATCATGGTCCCATGGGGTATAGGGTGGGGCTACAGTAAGGGATCAAAGTTTAACCAGAGTAAGGGATCAAAGTTTAACCAGAAACATAAATATTTATGTCTCGGTTTAGCATAAAAATACAGAGAATTTTTTTAAATGTTCTTAAACAGCAGGACCATGGTTAGTTTTCAATATACAAGCATTCTAAAATTAGTAGATTAAGTTGTATAATTATATTTATATTCATGCACAAGCATCCTCAGGTAGTGTAGATTCAAGTTTATTTAAATCATAGCATCCAGGGTTGGAATGAGGCCCCAAAATTAAAAGGGAAAATATTTAAAAATAACAGTTGGGCAATGATTAGTTCTAAAGCCAATTATACACCCTTTGTGCGCTGATAGAAGGTTGGCGGTTACCGATGAGAGGTTGTAACAGAATTTTTTTTCAATTCCATAAACATTTAAGTAGGAAAACCTCAGTAAACACCCATACATTATCGGCTCATTTTGTTTGAGGACAACATTTAGCCAGCTCGTTGAAAAATATTTTGTTTGCATGGTAATGAAATCATCTTTGCCAAAAATACATTAGGATGCATAGAAAGTGTTGTATATTAAATAAATCACTTCGTATGCATGTTTGTATCTTTTATTCAACCGGTTTGTTTGTTTGTTTGTTTGTTGTTTAACGTCCCTCTCGAGAATTTTTCACTCATACGGTGACGCAACCACTTGCCGGTGGAGAGCTGCAAATTTTGTCCTTATATATGCTCGGCACTTACGGCCATTGAGCAGTGAGGGATCTTTATCATGCCAGCACCTACTGCGACACGGGACCTCGGTTTATACGGTCTCATCCGAAGGACCGGTCTCCACGTCCCACAGTGGGATTCGAACCTGCTACGTAAGGATCAACTCCTTACTTCGCGACTCTAGAGCAGACGCTCTAACCACTGCGCCACGCGGGCAACTATTCAACTGGTAAAAATTTAAAAGGTCCAGACTATTTTTTTTATTTTAATAAATTAAGTACAGATCATAGTAAAACCATGCAAAATAGGTAAGAAGGTGATATAAAGACATACAACGTCTGTATGAGGTCCATCACTTGAAAAATAGGACCTTGAAAAGTGCCAAAATCAAGTCAGCATAAATAACAAAACATGTATATAAACCCACGTCTATCTCGGAAATATCTGAATCTAATTTCTCTATTTCACATTTAAGATGAATATCTTTACAACAACTGCCAATAAAAGAAATTCTTATGTAATTCACATAATTCCAAGCCTGAAAGATAAGAGATTTTTTGTCTATTCATGTATAGAAAATTGACTGATTGCTAGGGAAATTTCTTTACCCACATTTCCTTAGTAACCATAAACCAAAACATTTTTCATTTTCAATTTGCATACATGTTTCATATTACAAGAAAATGTGTGGAAAATCATCAAATTCTGAGAACCCTCATATATCACGTTTTGCAAGATTTTTACACAGTCCTGTACTTAAGACAAAACTTAAGTGTATTTTTCTGTTACCTAGAGATTTGCACGGTGTGTCACATTTATTGATCTAGTTACAGAACAATCTGGATGATTTTCAAGAGTAATCTGCAGATTTGTAACCTAATTTTTGGACATTTTTTATATCTTATTTATCAATCTACAATCCAGAGAGACGAGAGGAAAGAGGCGGGTTAAAAAAAAAAAGAAAAATATAGAAATTAGATTCAAAGATATGTCCGAGATAGACGTGGGTTAATAAACATATTTTGTCATTTATGGTAACTTAACATTTTTCTTTTTTGGTATACAATAAGTATACCTAGGACCATTCATTTTGACAAAAACGTCATTGTCCACGAACTTTATAAACAACCCTCGTATGTAGCTATATACTAAATACCATTATCGCCTGCATATGGGGTTTTTGTCTCCCAATTGATTCGATACGCAAGAGCATGCTCTACGTATGAACAATTTCTAAAACAAGGCAATCTCTTGACAAACAGGTTGGTGAAACAAGGGTATCAACATTTTCGTTTGAAGTCATCATTTTGCAAGTTTTATGGTCGACACAATGACATTGTCAGCAAACACAACCTATCATTAAGTGAAATGCAGATTGACGTTTTTCAAACAAATCGTTATGCCATTATTTACACACTGGATTGTCTGCAGTTTTTCCCCCGTTTTTCCCGATCATGCCAAGGAGCACACGGCTGGTGAAACCGGTCGGCAGGGGATGCTCACTCCTCCATGGAACCCCCCTGATCCCACCTCTGATGTTTTTGAAGGTCCGTGTTTGCTCTGCACCCGATTTGTATTGTTAAAACGGACTTTGAGCTTGAATACTGTTCGTTATCTTCATATTATTTCAGT